CACAAAATATTTTCCTGTTTGTGCATACATTTTACATTGCTGAAAAAACTGGGGAAAATTACGTGAGGGGGGGGGAGAATATACAATTAAATACAGTGTATGTGTATATATACAGTTTGGCTGAAAAGTTTTAAGACTGAGCTCATAAAAAAATGTGCAATAAATATTTTTTTTTACCAATTATTCTACATATAACCCTTGTAAGTTTAACACAATCTTGTTACCATTGAATCTATGCCCTTTCAACTTTAATTTCAGTTTTGAAAACAAAAAGTAATCTGGTGGAGATAAGTCCAGCAAATGGGGGCAGACTTTAGCACAGTAACAATTCCCCCACCCCTTGCGCCAAAAACGCACAAATAACAGCTGCATTAAGGGATAGCATGACATAGTGCAGGAAGAACCAGTTTTTGTTTCTATGAAAGTTCAGATGCACACTTGCAATGGCTTTCAATAGCTGATCCAATAACCCAGGTAAAACACCCCATTCATTGTTTTTTTGTTTTTCCTTCAGGAATGAAATCCTGGTAAATCAATACTCACTAACCCACTACCACTGTCTTCACACTGGATTTTTGGAAATGCATTATTTTTGGACAGTTTTGGCCAACGCTAACACACTCTGTGTTCTGTCTATTTGTTTCTGGATCATAGAGAAAGCACCATGATTTATCTCCTGTGATTTTTTTTTTTTTTTTTTTTTTTAAAGTTGTAATTGCTATTGACACGCTGCCACATGATCATCCTTTTGTTCTGCTGTTGATGAATGCGGAACAAAACATGCATACAATTTACCTTTTCTTTAAATTCTCACCAATTACTGTATTGGCAGTTTCTTTACCAAGGTTTATATGTTCCACAAACATTCTTAATTGTTAACTGATTATCTTGATTTAATGCAGCATGGACAACTTTGAAATTTGGGTCAGTTCAGCTTGTGTGAGGACGTCCCAATCTTTCATCATCTCTAGAATCTCGAAATCTACCAAACCACAAAAACTTGTTAGAATGCAACAAACACTCTTCACCATAAGCGTTCTGCAACATTTGAAAAGTTTCACTAGCAGTTTTAGCACTTTAAAAACAAAACTTTTTTGCACATCTCTGTTCCAAATATGTTTTTTTTTGGAAATAAGTAGTCCTATTCAGACAATTACTATTCAATCAGTCTTAAAACTTTTTAGGTAGACGTTGAATATATATATATAATGTGATTCAAAATGAAATCTACGTAATGTAATCATGCCTTGGTATAAAATGTATTTGCTGTGCAAATATGGTGTCTTTTTTTTTTTTTTTTTTTCCTCCTTTGGTCGCTGCTCTCTCGCCTCTATTTATTATTCGCCTCTCTTTGGTCTCATCTGTCTTGCTGTAGCAACATGTTGCTGCCTTAAAAAAATATACTTTTCAAGTTTATCTGATGTAAAATGTTCTTTAAGAATTAAGAACAAGGTGCTGTAGTGCTGACCTGACTTGCGTTGGATCAAATAAACATGTATACCAAGCATAAATAATAAGGAAACAAACTGAATTCGACCATGTCTGCAAGTTTCTGATTTGTGCATCCATCTACCATGGCAAGTTATTACAACAAACTTAATATAAACTATATATTAGGCAATAGCTTGAAGAATTTACTTAACATACGATGGAGGTAGGAAGTAAGATGGAGTAGCCCTAAAAACAAGTTTCTCCCGTACCCTGCTCTGAAGCACCGGCGATCCCTACGTGGTGACCAAAACATTGGGTCATTTACCATTGAGTTCAACGGAATTTGATGCTTTTGGATGTAAATATTTTGTAATTACGTCGAATATACATATAAATGTATATATTTCTTTTCTACAACACTTCAGAGTCCTAAGTATGTGAAAACAACATATTTTTAAACAACATTTCATTCTGAACGGAATTAAATGCTATACTTTTCACAGGACAGTTTTCAGAATGGTTTAATTGAATGAAATATTTTCACAAGTTTTCGTTAATTACATAGAAAAAAAAATTAAGGTAATGCGATTTTATTCCGTTAAGGTACAAAAATTAAGATCAAAGTTTATTACTAATATTAAAATTATGCATTATTTCTTTTCTATTTATAGAACTTCTTTCTAAAACCGAAAAATGCACGTCAATTTATAATTAATGCTCTATTTGGTTCATTTTAGATTAGAGAATTATTAGGAATTAGGGCAATACTTTAAATAGTACTTGACTTTCTCTGAACATTTTTGAAAGGGAATAAAATAAGTTTTTTTTTAAGTATTATTTAAAACTTGTAACTGAGTTATTATAAAATGTAAGAGGAATAATTCTTTTAATTATACTTATCAGATTTTTTTTTATCCTTCATTTCAACAATACATATTCCAAAACTCTTTATTACGTTCTTAAGTGCGCATCTCAGAGCATTTGCTTTACAATACCTTTTAACAGATTGCTTTCAAATACGAACAATTCTTGCTTTATAACGTATTTGTCAACAGGATTTCAATTTATGTTTACAATTCATATTAAGGTTATTATATTTAGATAACATTTATAATCATTATAAATTAGATACATTTAAAATTAGATTTCTTCACAGTACTTTCACAGTTGTTTATAAGTGAATAAATTCTTCATTTCAAATACATTTATAAATAATTTAATACCTGCGTACGTTAAGAAGCCACATAAACTCGAATTTCGAAAAAAAAAAAAGACTTGTGGGGAAACATTTAACAATCTGAATCAATAAGAGGACCATTCATGATCGGACCTCCTTTGGCAGGATATCCAAATATTTTCACCTCCGTCAATTACCCTATTTTCAAATTCTTAATAAGCTGTCTTGTGATGTAGCACGTTCACATGGTCACATCATCTTGACCGCACATGGTACTTCCGCCAAATTCGCAAAATGTATCTCTCTTCGTCCACACATTTGTGTAAACTGTACATAATTTTACAACAAATGTGTGGTTCCAAAGCTAGGGAAAGCTAACTTATTGGCATATCTGGTGTATATTTATTAATTTTGACGAGACTGCAGCATTTGATGGTATTTTATTTTTAATTAACCCAAATAAGTAAAACGTGTAAGCCCAAAGTGTTATTTTTCAGATATATAAAATTAAAATGATGAGTTTAAATGAGCAGCATTAAAGCCTCTCTCTAAAAAATTTTAACAGGTACATGTTACAAATAATTATGGAGTGAAAAAAAATTGTTTTATTTAAAAATTTTGGCGTTTGGTAAATAAAATAAAAGTAGCGAATACTCTATCAAGGGTATCGAAACACGTATACAATTTTAATGTACCGTAAGGTATTTTTCATTCTTTAAGCATAAAATTTTTCTAAAATGTATATTTTTGTAAGGCAACAGATTAGAATTTTATAAAAACAAATTCATAATCAAAATCGCTGTTGTTAGTTATCAAAAAATAACCAAGATGTGATTTTTGCGTAAATGTCACTAAACTATACAAATTGCTATTATCCATCACACTATGAATGTTTCTTTCATGCGAAAGTGTCCCTTTTTCGATTTGTATGGAACTGTCGTGTGTGAAATACTATCAGAACCCTGTCAAGCCAGCTTCTGAATCTAAACAAAGAACACCTCATCTGGTGACCCAAGCTTCAAAGCAGTGCTTCACTTCTAGTGTCGGTTGGCCCCTCTTTCCTTTCCTACCTCCATGATACATACATATATTACCAAATTAACAAAATTAAAGTAAAATAACAGAGTCTAATTGATTAAACATGTAACCAAATTTGCAAACCCACAGAGTTTTGCAAATTTGTACCTGATGCTGAAATACAACAGCAATTTTTTCAGCTAACTAAAAGTGAAAGAAATTATCAAGTTTCCTTTTGTGCTGCTCTATATAGCTAGGAATTAATCCACTCGGTATATAAAAAGCTAGTATATAATAATATTCTTTGCTTGTATTAAAAGAAGAACAAGAAGAGAGAATTTAAAAATTTTATGTCTATATCTTAAAACAGACAAATAATACTTGGTCTTGTATTCTAGAAAAGGAAGTAAATACATTTTGCATTTACATTTGAGGAGAAGCAAATAATATAATGTATTTGCATTCTAAGACGAGAAAATCTCATGGATTCACTTTTCAGAGCATGATAAAACCATATGCACATTTTTTTCTATCTTCTTTGCAAAATCTTCCTTCTGCAAAACCTTTTTGCAATTCAGAATTTAATTACTTTTGCATTTGAATTTCCTGAAGTTTAATTTACAGAAATGCTTATTTATACACTACACACACATAAGCAATCTAAATTTTCCTCTCAACTTTTAAATACAAATATATCATATGTAAAAATGGAAAGAATATGCTATCTGATTATAATACAATGCATTATAAAATTAAGTGAAGTTTTATAATGCTTACAAGCACCTAAACAAGCAAACTTTAAAGTCGATTACTAACACAACTAAATACACCATTTTAAAAACATAGCATTAATGTTTAAAATGTGCTAAATAACTACATTTTTAGCACCACTTTTAATGTGAAAATGTTAATTTTTATCTTGAAAAATAACATATTTTTTGCATTTAAAGAAAAAAAAAAAGATATAAAAAGGTTCTTCATGATGTTCAATAAAAATTTCACTAACTTCCACTAAATAACTAAAGACAATTGTAATGCTTTATATAATTAAACAAGTATAGATAATAGATGTTCAAGTGAAAAGATTCCAGGTAGAATTCTTGATAAAGTCCTCAAAATATTATAATGCAACATATTTACAAATCAACAATTTGGCTTTTTCCCACCCTTCACAATAGGAATTAATCACTTAAAAGGATACAGATATGAATTCTGTACTTGGAATGCCCACTGGTTCAGAATATTCTACTTGTTACACAACAGCACAGGAAATTCGGACAATCATCTCATGAGTTTTTGTTTTGTTTTGTTTTGTTTAAAGGAAACAAATTAGGAAGTGAATTTTTATGAAAAAAAGCACTTAAAAAATGTATACCTTTCGGTAGGGATTACCACTTTGACAACTGCATTGGATAAAAGCTGCAGAAGATGTCGACACCGAATAAAGGTAAGAACAGATATCGATTATTATTGAGTAAAACATTTTCATTCACATATAATGATTTAACTACAAAATCAAAAATTAATAATGGAATAGCAAATGTAAGGTATAATTAAAAAATGCTTTGTTAAAGTAAAATTTACAATGTAAAGGGATATTTTTTTTAACATTAGGATTTTATAAAAAATAAAAATAAAATAATACACAATTAATTCTTATGAACAAAGGGGCAAATCAACAAAAGAAAAGGGAAAAAAAACTATTATGTGATACATTTTGTGCTTAATTTTCATAACATATTTTTTTAATCATTAAAATATCTAAAACAGATATATAATTGTTTTTATAGAACTCGGTATTTAAAAGTAATAAAAATAATTCAGAATTATATTTTTTGTACAGTTAAATAATTTCTTGGCACAAGAAAAACTACAGAAACAAATTTATTAGTCCCAGGAATTACAATTTGTTTTAGTATTTAATAACAAATCTCTGAACACTTTACACTGTTTTGTACAAGAATTATCTTATAAAAATATAATGTTAATATATATGCAGTTCTACAAATAATACATTTAATGAAAATTTAAATTAAAATAATTAGCAAGAAACACTCAGGTGTCTTAATAAAAACAATGCATGCTAAATATTCTTGGAAAACTATTTAATTCCATTTAATTTTTTTATTTACTTAAAATCAAATTTTAACTATCAAAATTACCAGGGAAAAGATAGTTTTACACATTTCAAATAAATAAAATAAATGAAATTTTTATTTTAATAAAATGTAACTATTTTCAGAAAAAGTTTTACAGATTCTCTGGAATTAAAAAAAATATATCCTTTTAAGTATGCAACAGTTTTAAATGTCAGAATAGAATGAATTTATTGAAAATATGAGTGTGTGATATATTAAGCTATATTATCTCTTGATGTTAGGTTATTTGAACATGCCAAAGCACACAAGGGTTAGCTGCCTAAGGCGAGCGAAGCCTTCATGGAGGTCTCTCTAAGGAAGACTCGCTTGTATTCGCGTTACACATGAGGAATACCATGGAAGCCAACTATACAGCCAGCCTGTTCATCTGGGATCAAAATGCCAATATTCAGCAGCCTTAAACACTAACAGGTCCAAATTTCTTGAGACTCTAAACCACGGAAAGAATTTATTGTCACAAAAGTTTATTCAGTATAAAATTTGAAATATTTTTATTCTCGTTCACAATTTGTATACTACTATTCTCTTATCATGATTTGTCTTCTCATTTAAGCAATCAATATAACTATGTGATACATATTAACTTTTTATTACTATTCAGTGGTTATTTTTCATTAAAAATAAATTATCAGAGCCAACTAAATTGTTTTGAAAAGCTAATATGTTTATTATTTGGCTCAAATAAATATGTGCATGCAAACATTATCTTAACAGTTACAAATCCTTCTAAGTTAGCTCAATGAATTATGATGAAGAACATGAGGAGTAACAGATAATTTTAGGTCTTTCATACAAATTAATGCTTCTATCTGTTTACATATACAACTCACAATTGTCTGTTTTCAGCATTCAGAGCTTGAAGACACAAACAAAACCTTTACCTGTGATTCTTTATGTACCTTAACCATAGGAATAATCAAATCATTTCCATTATACAGGAAATGACATGCACCAGTTTTTAACAGAAAGATACATGTATACGTGCCTATGTTGATTACTGACAACCTTAAAATAAATGTGTTATTCATATCTCTTATAACAGTGTGCTTGCTTTCAATGCAAAGCAATTATTGCCATTAAAATGATTTTAAAGTGTGTCATTCTATTTTGTTCTTCATTTAAACAGATAATTAACTTTTTTTTAATCCTTAGAAACATTTTAATGCAATCAAAATGAGACAATGATGAAATTATACTTTCTCACTAGGAATATTAAGTTGGCATACATCTTTTTTTAGAGAATGGCATGGGTTGTTCTACACTGAAAAAGATTTGAATAATGTATGTAACAATTTAGGATAAATGGATAATACAAAGTTGATTATTTTTTTTATTAATTTGGTGCATATATGGACATGTTTGTAAGATTCTAACTATTGCAATCCTTCATAATATTGTATTGGTTTATATGTTATAAGGATAAATATAAATATGTTGATTTTATCATGATTTTCGTAGCTTTTATGATGAAATCCATTTTCAATAAACGTAATAATCAATGAATAATATGCAAAAACTAAATAATCCAAATTGAAAGCTTAACAGAACAAGCACTGTCAGAAAACTATATAAACATACACTAAGGAAAGAAATTAAAATTTTGCATTGAGGAAATTTTCTTAATGGCAGAAATTCATTCACTGCCACAGAAATGCAGTAACTTAAATATGAATATGCACTGTATCCAATTAAACTCTATTTCATGCAGTACATATATGGATATCTAATCAGCGAGCAAACTGAATTTAATTGACATCTGTGATGTGTTAAGCATCAGTTGACTATATAACCTACATAGTTGAATAACATTCAGTTAACATTCTTAGGTCTGTGTATGTAGTGAGATCAAGTATAACAGAGAAACCAAAGAACAATGTCATTAAAAATAATAGTAGCAGCAAGGAAGATTACTATAAAAAAAATCGAAATACCTGTCAGAATCAAAATTTCTAGTATTATATTTTGTGAAGCAAGTATCCATATCAAGTTCTGATTAAATTTCAACATTATTCACATACAGTGATGATCCACATTAAAGACCAAATTCAGTAATAAAAAATATACATCACAAATATAGGAAAGTGACCAATCAGAAAATTACAATTGGAAGACTTGAAATTCAAGAATATGCTCAGGATTTAACACTCTCCATAGCCTCCCTATTCTTGCTCTATTGATTATTTCTAGATTTAACTTCAGTTTGTAAATGCAACTAAGGCATAATTTATTAGTTATGATTTGATTACTCCTTTTGTAAACTTTTAATGTCTTATATATAAATACACATATATACATGCCTAAACCATACATATGCATAGTATCAAGCCTAATTTATTCTGAACACTTTATCGTTGTAACTCTATTTGCTGCTACATTCATTATCAACATGCACATTTATGACTGCTAATATGAGTAGTAAATTTTCTATACAACTCAGTATTACTCAACTAGAATCTCAAAAGATTCCAATACAATCAATCATCTAATTACAGAAAATACTATAATGCCAAGCTAAAATATTCTCAAACAGAAGAGGGGAATACAAAAATTTACAAATAAACATTCAGCAAAGTAAAAGAAGCATGAACAACAAAAGTTCAGTTGACACATATTTAGTATGAAGAATGGATATTTTAAAGTATAAGGCACAGAAAATTAAAAGGCAGCATATTTCACTCCTGAATGTTAGTTTTTAAAAAATCTGATAAAGATATTAAGTTTGAAGTTAATTTTCTATGTTTTCTTATGAAACAATCAGAGTTATGTCATTATACTTTCAAAATACTATGTTCACATAAACAGAATAACGACATATAGTCTACATGATTCAAATAAAACTCAAAATGCTAATACGTTTACACTAAGCTAAATATACCTAACACTACTGCTTGTAATTTTGGAATGATTTATGAATGCAACTAGAAGGTATTTTTGCATCAAATACAGAAGTTCAACAAACATGTAAATGATGCCTATTTTCACCTGCCATTTTTTGTTTTATATTTATACATATGGTGTGACTTAATTTTTCCAGTAAACTTAAATGAAGGTAGAAAGCATGAGCACATTTTTTTTGAATTATACCTTGGAATAACAAAAAAATGAAATAAAAATAAAAGAAAATAGTTTTAGAGTTACATGTAATAAGGAATGATTGCATTAAACCAACAAAGAAATGAAATACAAATATGAATATTTCATAGATGATAACAAACATGAGTAGAGGCCAAAAGCTTTACTCATAACATAAAATGAGGAAGCATCTTTTTACAAGAACAATGAGTCAGCAAATAAGACAATAGATTAAGTCTTACTGTGATAGACTCTAACAAGAAAAAAAATAATATCAAACCACTGATTTCCCTGAATTTCACATAATTATAGAAAAGTTTTAAAATACAAGTGCATAAATTTAGTTTACATCTCTTTAAAATTAAAAAATCTTTTTCAAATTTGCATTTCTTATTTGTTGTAATAATAAAAATAATGCTATGAATGGGGGGGTGGCATAGTACAGGGTGTGTTTTTTTTTTTTTATTATTATTTTATTTTATTTTTTTTATTGACGGCACTCAGAGACCTCTGTAGCTTGAACTATCAGCTGCAAAGCCCCAAAGTTTTGTACAGGGACTATTGATGATATGGGGAAAAGGAATCTGCGGAAAAAAAAAATTAGTTCCGAAAGTTGCCGATACGGAGAAATATGGTGCTTTTGATCTAAATTTTAAGTTTAACTGCATGATAAAATTTCTGTCCACTTTAAAAAGTTACAGTAAACAGATAAATGAATAACAATGAATTAATTTTTCCACAAATGTGTTTTATTCTAAAAAATAACTTCTATAAATGGTTTTAAAAAAAAGAGAGAAAGAGAACATTCTATTCGACTTTCTGTTTTCTTTGTTCTTTCGTTTTTAATCAGTAGAATCGCTTTTCCCGGGGAAGGCAACAGCTATTTGCAATATGACCTCCATTTTCTTGGACTAAGCATTGCATTCTGTTTACCGTACTCTCTATAGCTGAATGGAAAAATTCCAGGACGTATGTTCATAACAGCTCGTGTTATGTTTTCCTTTAAAACTGATAAGTTAGAAACTCCCCCAAAGATAAACCTCCGATTTTAAATAACCCCACAGGAAAAAGTCACACGGGGTTAGATGCAGGGAGGGAGGTGGCCATGCAACACGAAAAGAACGACTAAGGACTCTTTCCTTAGTAAAGTCATGGTGCAGCAGTTTCTGTATGGATGTACCAATATGT